CAATTAAGAGCAGTCCCACGTATGCCAACCTCGTCAGATAGCCTCTCTGAAAGTATTTGATGATCAACAGTATCAAAGGTAGCACTCAGATCGATTAAATTTAACATAGTGACATGTTGGGTGTTCATCTTTTACAAAATATCGTTCATCACCTTGATAAGTGCAGTCTCAGTGCTATGGAATCGCCTGTAAGAAGATTGAAGCGCAGGAAAGATAGCATTTTAAACCATGTGATCGTAAACTTGATTAAAAACGGAATGTGACCGGGTACACATCGGGCACTTTCCAGTTTTCTTGTCATGTTTAACCACATTGCCATTTTCACTTTGATCCTTGGCTCCTGCCGTCGCCAAGGAGGTGAACTTTGGAGCGGGTGTCTTAGGGTTCGGAGTCTTCATCTCAGATAAGTGACTGCGAGAAGAACGGATGATTCGCCACATCTGCTCGATCGTTAAGAAAATTGACCACGTCCTTAAAGGTTGGTAGAACACGACCTTGACGTTCGAGGTTCTTTAGATGCTCGCGACACTTCGTTTGTGCCCGCTTCGGTAGCCTAAGAATCATCTTTTCAAGGTTGTCAGTGTTCATTTCTCACAGACAGTCCATAGATTTCAGGGTGTCATACATTACTTGCGCTGTAGCTGTGTAGCGTCTTAGGCCATGTCTGTCTTGAGGCGCTATGACAGGAACTTGGATGAGGGCGTCTACGCATGCTCGTACCACTTTAAAGGGTTGTCCAAATCGGTCTTGGAGAACTTGAAGAGCTTTTGTTAAGCCACCCGGAACGGACTCTTGTCTCTGAACAGCTAACAGCGCAGGTCCTTCAAGGAGCTGTATCAGGCGGGCCATTTTCTTTGGCTCGTCTTAAGACTTTGAATCCACCATCTGATTAAACCTTTGACAAAAACCGGATAGTTTCAGGGCGTTACATGCGCTAGAAGACCTAGAACCTTTTTTTAAATTTTCTATACATTTTTCTGTAAAAATTTCCCGGAAAAAAATTGCAGATAAATATATGGAAAATCTAAAGCAAGCTTTTGGAGAAATTTAAGCACAGTAACGGCCCCCAAAATTTCTTAGTAAAATCCTTTGCTGTGTAGCTTTAGTTTACATTCATATCTTTTGCAAAACAGCCGTATTAAAGCAAGCTTTTGAAGAAATTTAAGCACAGTAACGGTCTCCAAAATTTGTTTGTAAAATCCTTTGCTGTGTAGCTTTAGTTTACAGAAATTATTCGACATTGGATTCTCATACAAACACTGTAATTTCTCACGCGTTTGCCTACTCGTCAAGATGGCGTCGAAAATCGTGACAAGGTCTATTTGAGTTGCCTCGCGGACATTCAACGAGAAAATTAGTATGTTGATACTATTAAGTAGAGTTTTTCTAGTATGATGAGTGAAAAACATATCGGAGTGGAGTGGAATAGCTTCCGATACTTCATTGTCAATGAAGAAAATTGGAGAGAGCCGTCAAAACAACTTTTGCTTTCTCCTCATAAAACACATAATATTCATTATCGAAAGCTCTTTAAACAAAAACTTTTTCAGTGCAAATTGGAATGGTCCTGTTGATAGCATCCGAAATGTTTTCCCAAAATGCCACCCTCCGTGATAATTAAGAATAACGACTTTGATATTTTAAAGAAGAAATCAAAAGATTATTATTCATTGCTCATAAGTAAAAAGGCACAGCTTTCTAAAAATACCTCAGCTTTAAAACGGGATTTTAATCTGACGGAAGATCAGCTAGAAAAAGCATTTCTTTTACCGCACATCATATGTTCTGAATTCTATGTTAAGGCCTTTCAGTACAAGGTCCTTAACTCCATATTATATACTAACACTAAGTTATATAAAATAGGATATATTACCGATGATAAATGCTCCTTTTGTATGTATAAACCGGAAACCCTTATCCACCTTCTTTTTGACTGTGTATATGCAAAACTTTTCTGGAAGGATTTTGAATTATATTATTACTCGTTGTCAAATGAATTGATCAACCTTAGTCTACAGGATGTGCTATTAGGTATAATAGCCGTACAATGCCCTTTACTGAACTACTTTCTACTAATAGCCAAACTATATATATGGGATTGCAGAAGATCACAAACTCGTCCAATTATTGCAGGGTTTAAGTTAAGGATTAAAAATGGGCGATATTGTGCACCGCGTAACGCTTTATTATTATTAGTATTATTATTATTACAGTCTAGGCCGTTCAGTTCTCTTTACTTAACCTTCTAAATAAAAAGAAAAACACTTATACTTAATCTATATATAATCCTCTTATACTTTTCTGTTGCCACTGTGTCTATAGTGTTAGTATTGTAAATTATGTTAGTAATCACTTTAGTTTAAGTTATTAGTCGTCAATAATTGTAATTGTAACTTTCTTTTCTTCTTTCTATGTAAAAAAATTAATGAGTACGGTGTTGTAAGTAGTGTAAGCACTGTAAGTTGTGTTAAGTAACATTTTGTAAGTAGTGCTTGTGTTGTAAAAAAAAAAAAAAAAAAAAAAAAAAAAAAAAAAAAAAAATCCGAAATGTTTTCCCGAGTCATCGGTAGTTTCTTCGTTTCTAGTTAGGAAAGGAGAAAATGACAACAGCAAACAAAACAACAAAAACACTTTATTAATAAAAAAATTAATAAAATTGCACAATTCCGCGGCTAGCACGGCTATTCGAGGCGGGACAATGCGTGCAAAATATGAAATTAAGACTGAGGTTATTAACTAGGGAAAGTTTCCAGTTTACAAATAAAAAAAATAAAAATCGTAATATGGATGAGGCCCTAGATAACAGACTAAAGAAGGAATAATTAAACAAATAAATTGTAAAAACAAATGAGCAAGAATTTATTTTTCCACATTTTTGGCTGATTTTACTTTTTTAATTAAGGTGGGCGTATCAATATAGTCATCTCCTGGATTCAAAATATCAAAAAGTAATTTTTGGAGTGTGTTTTTTTTAAAACTTTTTCCTGGGGAGATGTCGGATGTGAGAGGGTATACTTGTTTTTTGAAATAGACTTAGAATGCCAGAAGGTACCTTATTGTTATGAACATCATACATAAGATTAGATATAGTCTGATAATGCAAAAAGTTCAATGGCAAAACCGATGCGTAGAGTTTGTTTTTCATCCTTATAGATTCCTTTAATCCAGTGGTAATCCAAGGCTTGGAAATCGCTGTCTTTTCTGATTAGATAATTTTTCCATGGGAGCATGTTTATTAACAATTGTGTTGAACGTCCACTTTATTTTTGTCGCTACCCAGTGAACGTTGGAAAGATCAAAATGAAAGTTTCCCTTGCACGCACAACCCTTGTGAACGAACCAGACAAGTATGGCGAGACAATAGCCGTCGTGTGCGAACACCTGAAAGGAACTCAGGAGATGCTGTTCGCCGATAGGGCACAATAATACAAAGCATAGTTGTGTCCAATCAGGAGCCATCATTCGCTTGACCGTTTTTAAAAGGTCTGGTGAGAGTCGGTACCCATTGTCTCTTCCGCACGTGCTTGAAAACGTTCGTCAGGCCTTTTTCTTCCGATCTGACTTACTGCCCATGGGTGCCCGAGGATGAATGAGACGAAATAGGTTAAGATATTGGACGAGGCAGACTTTTCTAATTGTGAGGCTTGTTCCTTCAGAAGTCTTCACGATGCTTTCCGCAAAACTTTGCTCCAAACGGCCACAGAGAAATCTTGAAAATGAACTCTAACTCGCGCGTTGATTTCAAATAATTAGTGTTTTATCGGACGGAGAGAAATGGGAAATGATCACGGGGACTGGTGATTATGGTGGGGGGAAAGTAAAAGACATTATTAGCACATGATTTTATGTCTACTGCAGCTTGCTAGAGGATTTTTGTACTAAAAATATCATGTTGATACACAAGAATGTTCAAGTAAACAAGCCGTAAATGAGAATGTTGGGGAAAAATCCTGGAGGTACCTTTTTGCAAATCCTGACAGATTTATCACAATGAAATATGGAAAGTGCTTTGTACGGTATTTTTTTCAACAACTCGTGCCTAAATGTCGTGCGGTGCTCTTCCATGAAGTATTCTATATGTTCAAATATATATGTGTATGTGTGCACATGGAAAAACATAGCAGGTATACAGTACAATTAAAAAATAAAAACGATGATAGTAAAAGAAAGAAAATAAATAGAAGATAATCATTTACACTGCACAGTTTGGCTCAATTCATTTATCTCGTGCTTGTTTCTTAAAAAAATATATCTAAAACAAGGGACTATTACTTTCTACGACCAAATGTCGATTTCAAGAGAAGTAACCTCATTCACTGGTGGACCGAATGTTGAATAATATATTTTGAGAAAAGGCGAGAAAATATCTCTTAGACAGTAAGCTAGGCTAGGATGAAACAAAGAGGGAAAGTGTTGTTCTCACTTTGGTCCGTTTTCGCAGTAGACGAAGTAGAGCACAATTACGCAAACGCAAGGGGGCCTTTGTAGGTCAAAAACAATGTGGCAGACAGCGACAAAAAAATCACGAATTTTCAATTAAATGTCTGAGATACTTACTTGTTGCCTAAATAATGACAAGCCATTAAAGTTCCTCAATCAATGAACCCAAAAAGACGACAAAAATTTTTTCAACGTACTAATGTGACTTTCCTGAAAGCGTGTCCACTGTGACCTATGCCAAAAACGTTATCAATAGTATCTTCCCTTTATAAGTTACATGCGAACTTGCTATTCTCACGAATGTGTGAGTTGCGAGTTGATCAAGGCCAGCGTGCCACGAGGTTTGTAATTAAGAAAACGGCTTGGACGTTGATGGAGCTAAACTGGCTGGGACACCTGGGAATTGTGCAACATCAGTATGGTATTAGCCAAGTTCCCAGGGAATGAGAAGAATGTCCTTTTCGTTTCGCAATAGCCCTTGAAACCTTGTGAGCGGCCAATCAGAGCGTGTTTATCTCAGTAGTTATTTATTGATATAACAGACTTGTCTCATATTAACTTTACACGTTGCAGGAGAGTCAGGGTCTGGAAAAAGTAGCTTGATAAACCTCATTCTGGGAAAGGAGCTTCTTCCTTACGCTGTTCTCAGTACGACTTCTACCATTTGCGAGTTAAAGTATGGAAAGGATCCCAGAATCGTCGCTCACTATAAAGAAAAAGATCCTGAAACAGGTCTACCAACACGGATTATTTACTTAACGGAGTGCCAGGCAAAAACATCTGAACAAGGCTATCTTGACCAAATTTCTCCTTACGTTCATGTGAAGGGTGATAGGGATAAGGGATCGCCTTTCAAAAAGATTGAACTCTTTTGGCCTCACCACCTTTTAGAGGTATGGTATTTAAAAGCACTGCCTTCTTTGCTTTTATTATTATTATTATTATTATCATTATCATTATCATTACCATTATCATTTTCATTTTCGTTGTCATTATCATTGTCATTATAATTGTCATTTTGTTTATCATTATAATTATCATTATCATTGTCATTGTCATATACATTCCCCAAAAGTAATGATAGCAACATTTCAGGTTAAAACACCGTAGTTTTCAATTGCATTTTTGTCCTTAGTATTGTCAGGCCGTTTTTTACATGAGGAAACTTTCAAAGTTTGATTTTAAGTGACGCGACAGGAGGAAACATCTCTTTTTCAAAAACGTAGTGTTCCGCGCGTTTTTGCGTTTCGTTCCTTTAATTGCTCTAGGAACAACCTAGGAACGCACAATAAAGGAACTTTGTTTTCACAATAAAGTTAAGGCCTTCGCTTTTGTGAACCATACTATTTTGTCTGCCAAACTGAAACAGCTACCCCTAAATCCGTACATTATCAATAATTGGTATCAGAGTTTCCTCTATGCAAGACAACAACGAGTTGTTAGCTATAACTTTTTAGGACATTGGAAATCTGTCAATAGAGGAACCACTCAGGTAGTGTAAGTGGGCCGTAGCTTTTTAATATACTTTTGAAGGACTTGGAGATTTTCCTTAATGGTTGCCCTGTTGCTTTTAAATATGTCGATGATTCCACTATTCCTTTCGCCTATCACTAGGAACCGCGACCCGTCTGCCGACTTAGTAGGACAGTTCTTAACCTGGTGTAAAGACAATAAAATGGTCTGCAACCCCTGTAAATGTAAAGAGCTGGTTGTTAGGAAGAAAAATCACAATGTACTCTACTCTCCAATTAAAAATATTCCTCAATGTAATAGCTTCATTTTACTAGGAGTAACTCTACAGAGTGACGGGAAATTTAATGAGCATGTAAGAACCAAGCTTTTCAAAGCAAACACTAAGTGTTTACACGTCCTACAAACACTAAGAAAGGAACACTACTCTTAGGCAGAGATAGATCCCCTTTTTATATCTACTGTTTTACCCAATTTTAGCTATGCGCTTTCAGTCTAGGGGGCATCGGAGTCCGATCTTACGGTTATACAAAATTTTTTAGACCGATGCCATAAACGCCGTTTTATTTCATTTCCAGTTTTTATCAAGAACCTTTTAAATAAACAAGACCGAAACATTTTAAAGAAATTAATATCAAAGGATTGCCACCCCCTGAAAGATATCATTCCTGTCCAGAAGACTTATGTACATAATCTTAGGAAAAAAGGCTGCGCACGCCCGAAAATTAATACACAGCGTTTTATGAACACCTTTGTAAATAGGTTTATTTTTAAGCTCCATTTATTGTAATGAAATCCTTTTTAAATTATATATATATTTAGCAATTATTTCACGAGGGCACATTAAATATGAGATGATAGATAGCCAACGAGGCGCATAGCGCCGAGTTGGCTATAATCATTTCATATCCAACAAGCCCGAGTGGAATAATTGTTTTATTAAAAACGCCCACAAAATCTCGTTGAATCGCCCCAACTAGAACAAACCGGAAAAGACAAGGGACTTCCGCTATTCACATGTCACGCGTCTATCAAAACTGTCACGGCGCGAACGGACTCGCCTAGACTGCATGAATGAAAAATCAAAACATTGTAGCGATGAACATTAGTTTTTCAAAAACTCATCGTGATTCTAGGATTTTACAAAGCAGAACAGCTTAAAAAACCTGGCAGATAATGTGAAGGAAAGGAATTTTTAAGTGACAGCCGTCGAAATTACTATGAATTTGGATTTTCGGTGCAGTTGTAAAAGTAAGAAAAACGGAGAAAAACTACCGGTATTACCTCGGTCGCTTGTTATGAAGTTGTTTGAAGCCACGCGCTGGTTTTGCTGAACGAGAAAAGAAGTTATACTGCCGCCTCGATTGCTCTAGTGAATGGCTGCATAGCCTGTATTTGTAGCTGGTTACTTGTGATTTATATTCTTGATGTCGGATAAACAAGCTGCAGTTATCTATCGGCGAGTGACTCGATCGGCGAATGGCTTCGCGATCATGAAGAAACAACACTTGTCTTCTTTCGTAGCTGGTCAAGGTACTTTAGTTCCATGTGTTTTCATGTGTTGAAAACAAACTTTCAAACAAGCTCTAGTGGCTTTTTTGTTTGTTTTTGTCTTTTTTCTTTCGCTGAAATTGCATTTCTAGTATTCTAAGAAATGAATTAAAACGATTTGCTTCGGGCGCCGTTCTATCCTTCGCGAAAAAAAATCTCAGCTACCTACCAATTTTAAACTGACGCGTACACCGACCATATATGGAGAACATGGTATATTAGCTCATATACCATAACGGCTAAGCCAATCAAAATGCTAGAATTGCATTATCCAATGATTCAGTTTTTAATAAATACAGTATGTTGCCCAGTATCCGGACGGTACCAGTATCCGGACACTTGAAACAAAAACTCAATTTTTGAGACGCCCTTTTCAGTTTTCGGTAAACGAAGTATTTCGAATGAAAGCTGAACATTTCAGCTTTAAGATGAAAGTTTTGGCGATTTGAAAGCTTGCGAAACAGTCGAGGAAGACGCCGTTCTGTTCAGGTGAGTAAACTTTTCATGGTTAATATTTACGTTGTTTACTGCGCAGTAAAATTAGTGCTGCTCAGAAAAGGGAGGGTAATGTGTGATATTTTCAAAGAAAATGTTTTATTTTCAAAGTGAAGATACTTAAGGAAGTTAGGTTTTCAGAAAGTTTATTAATTCTTCTTGAAATTCGATTTGTTTGGAATAACGGAGGCCAGAAACATTCACTAAGTTTTGATGTCATGTGCCCAGTATCCGGACAGTTTTTTCTTTGCTGTACAGAATCGATGAATTAGTTGTGTGCATTATCTGGATTAGATTTATTTCATATCAGTAACTATAATTAAGGCTTAGGATATATGATATAGTCGTAAAATGTAATTCTACTGAACTCCGTATGGAAATTTTCTTCACTCATTCAGAGGCGACTTGATTTCGTGAGCACCGCTTGTTTCGCGTGACTGCATTTCCTGTATATAACTGAAAGCGTCTGAGTTGAACCTGGAATTCTCATACTTTCCCCAGTTGTGACTGCTAGAACGGGGTTGCAACGGTCTGAAAAATGTCAAAAAGGGATTAAGAGATGTGAAAGAAGGAGGAATTAGTGCTAGAAAAGCAGGCTTATTGTGGGGACTGAGCATGAAGAAATCATCACTGCAGGTCAGACTAAATAGGAGTGACCTTTGACCGTCGGGTTGAGGTCCCTTCCCCAAGCTTTTCTTTGAATAAAAAATGAAGAAAGAAAGTCGTTTGCAGACTGGCTAATTGAGCTTGCAAACTGCGGCTTCGGCATGTCCACGGATGCCTTCCTTAAATCGGTGAAAAAGTTCCTAGACAAGGAAGTAAGAATTATACCATTTTTTAAAAAGCCGCTCGCGTTCTCCACCATACCCCCGTCATTTGTCATGTTTTATTTCACGATGCTAGGTTATATTTTTGAAATCGATTGCCAGACTACTTTGCAAGTGCAAGAGAAGCTTATAAGTCGCTTGCCTGTCGAAATTTATGTACAGTTACGTTGTTATTGTTGTGTCCGGATACTGGACCAGCTGTCCGGATACTGGGCAACATAGGAGCTCTGCAAAAATATTAATTTCTCGATGGAAACAAAGGCAAAAAAGTTAAACGTCTTTCGTCATGTTAAGGACTAGATAGATTTTAGATAGCCAAATCTCAGAGCTCTTACGATTAACAATGGAAAGTTAATGCAATCTTAAACTGAAGTGTCCGGATACTGGGCAACATACTATATATATATATGTATATGTAGATATTTTTATTATAGTTTTTTATCCTCCGTATTATTGTACCATAAGATATGTAGTTTTATCTTTTGATGAAATAAAGACTCATTTAATTTTTTTTATTATTTTTTATTTTTATTTCTTTATTTTATTTACTTTTATTTTACTTATTTAAAGGTCGGTAAACTTCAGAACAATCTGGTCCGTTAGCAGCAAATTGGAACACAAAGTTTCTTTTCATTTTAGTCAAAAGGAACAACTGGTTTCTCTTTTATCCTTTCTGGAACAAAAGGTCCTCTTTCAACAGTTCCGATTTCCCTTCACGTTTCTTTCGAAGCGATTGGGGAACAAATGTTCCCAATCTAATTTCGCGCTCGACACAGCAAAGAACAAACTGTTCATATTTACTGGCATATCCACTGCTGTTCGGAATGCCTAGCTTGTTCCCTTTCGTTTCAAATTGTTCCTATCATGCCCAACAGGAACGGAATTGCTCCTAATTGAGGTGGTTTTTTGTTCCTCAAGATAAGTGTTATGTTCCGCGTATAAATGGAAACAGGTTCCGAATTTGTGCCAAAGGAACTAGCGTTCCATTTTGCGCAAAGTGTAAAAAAGAATAGGGAACAATAGTTCCTATTTATCGTAGGCCATCTGAAAATACTGCCCATCACCTCCGCTATACAAATTTGTTAAAACATATGTCCTTCAACAATCGAGTTAAGTACGAGACTTACCCGCTACATCTTTAATCTCGTTTGGGCTTGCCCTCGCAAGTTCAGGCTTGTGTCTTTGTTCCTTTTGATTAATTGTGTACCAAATACGGACAAGAAAACAATGGGGCAAGGGCAAGAATGACCAAGTGTGGGCAGAGATGGGCTAACAAATATCTCATTGACGAATAGGATGATCTCTTGGGGACCCTTTTGCTAGTATAAGTGCATGCATACTTTAGAAAGATATCGATTTCAAGCTAATGCTTAAGATGAACAAACGAGGCAAGGATGTCAACTAATGCATCGCCTAAACCAAAGAGACTTCACTTAGAAGAGGATGACTGTGATGGTCTTTTTCACTGCCCAGTGCAAATTTGTAACCACGAGGGATTCACTACACAAACACAAAACACGTAAAGAACAAACACAGTTGGTACTATTACTTCGACGAGAAGCCAGACAGTGCTCAAATCGATACGCTTAATGTCGATAAAACCAACAAAAGTGAAGCCAGTGATCAGAAGATTATACCGCGTAAAAGCAGGGCAATTGCCTCTTTTGATCCTACAAACTACATTGCCAAGAGCTTTTTTTCGTGGCTAACTGGCAGTGGTGGGGGCTGTAAAAGTGATCGACAAGCACAACAGATCGTAAGCAAGTGCTTAAAGTTTCTCAAGTTTTGTTGACGAAGAGGAGCTCACATTTGACATTGTGGGCCTTAGTTTATGTTCACCGAATCTCCTTTTCAAGTTTGTTGATACGATGCAGGATGATTGGAAGCTGGGACACGCGGGACGCATAGGCTACTTCGATGCCATTGCAGAATTGGTGGATTATCGAAAAGTGAATGGAGCATCGGAATCAGTGTTGACAGGGCTGGTTTCAACAGAAATTTACTTGAAAAAGGTGCGCAAAACCGTTTCCAAAATGATGCGCTTGCAGTGGACCAGCGAGCTCGATATCGATGCCTTAGAGGCCAAAGGGCACTGGGCCACACTTGAAGAACTGTTAGAAGTCGTGGGGCGCTACTTGCCGCGCTACGAGAGCGTACTGAAATCATGCAAGGAGAAACCAGGTGCTGTTTTACCAACAGATTTATCTTTTGCTACCAAACTTTTGGCCGTCTATTTATTTATCAAGGTCAAGGGCTCGCTCCCCATGACATATCAGTACTTAACGGTGGAAATGTTGAACAAAGCCAGGACTAACGGTGGATTTATAGACCCGAAAGTGTTCAAAACGGCTGGGAAATTCGGCTTCGATTCTTTTTCCCTGATCAAGACGAGCATGCAAGTGTTGGGTGGCTACATCAACCACATTCGCCCCCTACTCAGACCGACCTGCGACTTTGTATTGGTGACAAGAAATGGAGGGCAGCACAACAAGGTGGGAGAGCTAATGAGTAAACTGGTCTTCGATGCAACATGCAAATACCTTCTTCCGACTCGTTATCGACAGATTGTGGAGACCGCGAGTTGCAGGCAGCTGAGCAGCAGCGCGCAGAGCACAATCTCCGAGGACCAGAAACACAGCTCTGTTGTTGCAAGGGTTCAGACGTGCGCTCGAGGCTTTCTGGCAATTCTGCGTCTTCTGAAGATCAGAACGGTAATAAAACCGATACTTGCTCTAACGACGAGGGAGAAACGATCGCAGAAACGCCACCCGAGCGTCTTTCAGCTGTCGCGAGACTAAAGCGGGAAAATGCGTTTATAGCGACAGATTTCCCGGCGAAAAAAAGAGTCTGATGTTTAAAAATGTGTTGCTAAACAGCTGATTCAATACTTAGATATTAATGACCTTGGTGAAACATATCAATCGGCCTATAAGAGAAACCATAGTACAGAGACGGCTCTTATTAGAGTGCACAATGACATAGCCATGGCAAAAGATCAACATAATTCAGTTATCCTGGTACTTCTCGATCTTTCGGCTGCATTTGATACTGTTGATCATGGTATCCTCCTTTCGCGACTGTCCAATCGCTTTGGAATTACTGGAACTGTATTGAAATGGTTTCGATCAGATCTTTCTGATCGTACACAGTTTGTGCAGGTTAATGGTGCGTGCTCTGCTTCTCATGTTCTTGAGTTTAGTGTACCGCAGGGATCCGTTCTTGGCCCGTTGTTATATTCAATGTACACATCCCCTCTTGGCGAGATTGCTCGACGTCATCAAATGTTCTATCACTTTTATGCTGATGACACCCAGCTATATATTACGTTCAGGACGTCGTCTGTTTCTGATATGAATCTGAGTAACGCCAAATTGGTAAACAGTGTTCGGGACATGGACGCATGGATGCTTTCCAACAAGCTGAAATTAAATAAAGACAAGTCCGAAGTTCTCGTAATATCCTCTTCCTGTCGACCTCGGCCACCACTATCTTCTGTTGATATATGTGATGAAACTGTATCCTGCTCCCCCGGTGCACGCAATATTGGAGTTGTCTTTGATCAGTCCCTTTGTATGGTACCTCATGTCAATGCAGTCTGTCAATCGTCCTTTTTCCATCTTCGAAACATTGGTTTCATACGCAAATATCATACTTATGATGCTGCAAAGATCATTATTCATGCCTTCGTAGTTTCTAAACTTGATTATTGTAATTCTTTATTGTACGGCCTACCATCCTATCTTATTCGGAACTGTAGTTAGGTCATAACACAAAACTTAAGAGGCCACCCCCCCCGAATATTTTCCTCGGCTGGACAAACGCAATGGACTAAGACTACGATGTTTTAACCTGAATTCTAAGTGACGTCGTCTGTTTCTGATATGAATCTGAGTAACGCCAAATTGGTAAACAGTGTTCGGGACATGGACGCATGGATGCTTTCCAACAAGCTGAAATTAAATAAAGACAAGTCCGAAGTTCTCGTAATATCCTCTTCCTGTCGACCTCGGCCACCACTATCTTCTGTTGATATATGTGATGAAACTGTATCCTGCTCCCCCGGTGCACGCAATATTGGAGTTGTCTTTGATCAGTCCCTTTGTATGGTACCTCATGTCAATGCAGTCTGTCAATCGTCCTTTTTCCATCTTCGAAACATTGGTTTCATACGCAAATATCATACTTATGATGCTGCAAAGATCATTATTCATGCCTTCGTAGTTTCTAAACTTGATTATTGTAATTCTTTATTGTACGGCCTACCATCCTATCTTATTCGGAAGCTTCAACATGTTCAAAATTCTGCTGCTCGTCTTGTCAACCAGTGTCCAAGATTTTGCCATATTACTCCAGTCCTGATGGATCTTCACTGGCTCCCTTTCTCCTTTCGCATTGAATTTAAAATTATGTTAATTACTTACAAAGTACTACATGATCGAGCTCCAATCTATATACAGGAACTCCTTCAATTGTATACACCCAGCCGCAATCTTAGATCCTCTAACAGAAATTTATTAGTTAAACCCTATTTTAATCTCAATTCGTATGGTAAACGAGCTTTTTCTATTGCCGCTCCGGAACTTTGGAATAACTTACCTGAGGATATTAAATCTGCAAACTCAATTGATGATTTTAAACGCAAACTTAAAACATCTCTTTTTATGCGAGCTTATGAATCGTGACGTTTTTATTTGTTATCTGATTTTTTATCTATTGTGTACATTTATCTATTTTGTAGTTAGCGTCTAATTTTAATGTCAATTTCTTGCGATTATTTTTACTTTTTACTTCTATCTAATTTTTTGTAAACAGCGCCTTTGAATCTTGTAGAAAAGGCGCTATATAAATGGATTATTATTATTATTATTATTATTATTATTATTATTATTATTACCCCTGAAGAAGACAATTATCTAACATCAGGCATCGAGCGACACGGCTACGGTCAATGGAAAGCGATTACCCGGGATCCCGAATTTCGTTTTCAAGAGGGAAGGTCAGCCAACGCCCTGCTGAGCCGTGCAGCGCGAAGATTTGGATCACTTTCTAAGTTATCCTAGAACTTTACATTGTGAGCAAGAGATAATTTTGCGAAGGGCACCAGAACACTAAACTGTAGTTAGGTCATAACACAAAACTTAAGAGGCCACCCCCCCGAATATTTTCCTCGGCTGGACAAACGCAATGGACTAAGACTACGATGTTTTAACCTGAATTCTAAGTGGAATAGTTTGAAAGTTATAACACGGGACAAAAATGCGTTCTTTTGGCGGGCGACACTTAAAAGCTAGTAGTGATCGTAAAAACACATGTTTAAGCGCAAACAAATTTTATTTGGACTTGATCACAAACAAATGAATCATCTTGCACACGCAGTTGATCATGAGCACGTAGGACACCTAACTGACGATAGGCTAAACTCGAGTTAAACTGAAGGACCTACGAATAAAGGGCAATAATGCAAAATACAATGTTCTGCTCTCGTCCACTCTGAGCGCAGACCTACTTCTGGCTGGAAAAGTACTTGAGGATTGTGTTCTCACTGTTGCTGCAGCCCTTGTCCTTCTGGCTCTTCGCATGAACTCGCCCTTCCCGTTTTCGTGCCCTCTTCGTCCCTTTCTGGAGTTGCTGCTCGCCCTAACGGGTCCTAAAAAACTCTAAGTGGCTCGTCTGCCAGCGAGGAACCTGGGTAAATACCTCATCGGCGCTGTCGTCCTCGGTACCCGCCTCGGCTTCTGCCACACCTTGCTCTTTTGTCGGTCTTGGCAAGGGTTCCGTCACATTTTTTACCATGAGCTGGTCTGCTTCGCGCAGTATTCCCAGCTCCACGCAGACTCTCCTACGTTCCGCCAAGGCTTCCTCGGTGTTGAAGGTCCCAAGATTCTGATGGTGGAGTTTGAGGTTGTCGGATAGGACCTCCTGGTACGCCATCAGGCTTCTTCGCATGTATGGATCGTCTGTGCGACTGTACATTTCTACGCACTCGTCAAGTTCCTTCTCTGTGGAACGCAGCCAAGTATCAGCGAAGACTAAACGTGCCTTCTCGCGGTGCTGCTGTACCAGGTGTGCTGTCTGTGCTCTGCGATTCTCTTCGAGATCAAGAACAATTGGAGTGGGCATCTCCTCGCCCAGGTCTAACGGAAGCAACTCTGTGTTCTGGGTGCTCACTCCGTTCTTCCTCAGCATGGATTTTCGCCGCAGGTACTGCTGTCGTTTTCTCTTCTCTTCCCCGGCTCGTTTCTTCTCCTCTTCCATCAGCATGTGCTGCACTTGCCTGTGTCGTAGACATCTCTGGGTGCGATCTGATTACGGCTTCCCACAACAAATCGAGGCGATCGATCGAGGTGTTACTTACAGCATCTTCATCGCAATTGTCCTCTTCTTCGTCTGTCGAAATTGCAATGTTAATGTGGCCAGGGGATTCGCAAGTAACAGCGACCAAAGGGCTTGCTTTTCCGTCTCCTTCAAAAGACCTTCCTCGTCATCTACGTCGTCGTTATCGTTGCTCTCGGTATCAGTTTCGTCCTCGTTGTCGTCGTCACATGTTTTTGCCTCCTCAGCAGCCTAGACAACGCACTCCATGGTGTGCTTTTTGAGCCACGCTGCGGCCTTTCGTTTGAGATTCGGGAGGCTCTTGAACTGATACGTGCGCAGACGTCTAATCATTACTGGCTGGTCGGCGGGACCGAAATCCAGCTTACGCTGTGCGGTCACTAACATCGGGCACTTGTAAAGGAATGCTTTAGCGGTCTGATACTTAACGTCGTGAGCGGTATATCCTCCTTGCGTTAGGATTTTCCAGTCAGCGACGTCGAGTGTTTTCTTGTCTGCCTCATCGATGAATATGACTTCTGTAAATAGGGTGATCATGGCCTTATTGAAGGCCCGTTGCTTCGTGACTGTGGCGATGTTGCCATGGTGTATCGGAAAAAAGAAACTTGTATTTCCGCTATTCCCATCCCCAACGAGACAAGGTACTTTATCTTTGTGCTGCTTCCCGTTGTAGTTTAGCAGTTTTAGGAAATCACCGCAGAATGTTTAAACTTCATTTTCAGACAGGCTACTCTCTAGGATTTCCCGAAAATACTTTGGATCAGCATGTTTAGATGGATCATATGCGCCAAATGCCCTGGGAGCAGACGTCGTCTGCCCTGGGAAATACTTTTCCAATTTGGCGCTCTTCAATGGCATTCTCTTTGAATGCACGATCTTTGAGGGATCAGTAAACCCCATCGTTGACTTCTATCAGGTCGTAACTTATGACCAGAGGATGAAACATTTCACAGTGTGGGTCTGACAAAAGTTCAATTATCCTCTTCATGTATTGGATAAGTCGCGATTTAAATTGCTCGTTAGTGGCGAGAGTGTTGATGAAAGTCCTTTCTTCGCACTTGTACGTGTATGTGTAAATTACCCTTAAATCCTTCTTGTACACTTTGCCTCGATAGCTGGCGTATTGTAACGTTTGCATTGCGATGGTGATGTCGTTGACGAAAATCGTGAGTTTATCTGATAAATGTCTCTCTTCGCGTTCAGAAACCGGCAGCGTCGTGTCGCGTGTAAAGCCAAACTTGTCAATCTGTAGCTTAGCTTCCATCATCTTTTCTAGAGCGTTTGATAATGGCTGTTGAAAACTTGGGTTCACGACAGTGACACGAACGACATTTTCTGTCCCGCAGCCTTCCAATTCTTGTGGTTGCGATGTTGCGAGTAAGCTTGATAATTCCTCGCGATAACTGTGCTTGTATGATGCTGTCACGAGGTCTTATATATAGGGATTTTTATGGTCTTTAAGTAGATTGTACAGTTCTCGAATGGCAATACACTCTTTTCCACCCTGAATTGCACCTGGTAAAGTAACAACTCAAATTTAGTGAACGTATTTTTTTTGGAATTGTCATCGCTAACTATGTCGTATAACTCGTAACTCATCCCCGTAACAGCTTGACTCTGATCTTTCTATTAGCTGTAAGGTATTACATAAGTTGTACAGAATAAACCTGCTCAGTTATAAATGTATCGATTAGTAAGCTTTAACTTGCTAAGAATACGTCCCATACCGGTTTTGCTGTGACACCCATTCCACACTGGAGCAGGGTCCGATGAACCACCAAGAGATTTGCAGGGGCGCCATTGGGTGATGTGAGTGCAATCCAATACGTCAGCGATGGCCAAAGCAATTTATTCACACGAGTTCGACTGCCATCGAACCATTGTTCGGAAGACATGCTCGGCACAGGACTTGGTTCGGGTTCTTCTTCGCTTTCCTCGCTTTCCTCTTGTACGTTTCCCTTCTTTTTCTCGTGTGTAGATATCGCACTGAAAAAAAAGGCTGCATTCGGAATACCTGAAAATAGACAAGATTCGTTTTAAAATTTTTTGGCAAACCAATAATTAGCATGAAATTTGATGAAAGCTAACCCGAAAGGGCTCTGTCACACAAATCTCGCTTTTTGCAGATGTTGTTCCACGATTTGCGCACACAATGCTGCACTGGCCGGCGATTACGGGACTCGTGTAAACCAACGTTGCTCCTTTTATTCTCTCGCTGTTTAGCTGTTTGCATGGTCCTGTGGCTCGACGCATCTTCGGCAAATGTGCAGTGATAAATGAGGCTCAAACGGCTGCTCATATATCTATCTTCGACTTGTGAAGTTGATAAGAATAAATATGAAGAAATGTCACTCGCTGTTTTTGACACTGTTACAGTTTCAACCATAATGGACAACTAATTGCAAGCAAACCTGGCGATTATTGTTGAATTTATGTCGCAGTTTTCTCGCAGTTTTTGTCCCTAGGGTTGATAGGTTTTTAAGGGAAAATAAGTGGACAGAAACTAGCAATAATTGCAACACAACACGGTTACTTCAGAGTTACGTAATTCTGCATTCTTCTGTGTTACTCGAAACGTATCTGGGGAAACCAACTAAATTTTGGAAAGAGTGCTGTTTACTGGGCATGGAAAATTATTTTTCTAAACCTTACGTGGTTTCAACATTCATACTATTGATAGGCGGGTTTGTCTTATCATTCAGAGATAGGGAAGGGAACAGATTTGACTCGTTAACGTTGTAATCAACGTTGGCGAAAATTGTGGAATTTTGTTCGCAGTTTTCTCACGTTTCTTGTCCCCAAGGTTCATAGGTTTTTAAAGGGGAAACAAGTGGGCAGAAACTAGTGATAATTGCAACACAAAATGGTTACTACAAAGTGACGTAATGCTGCATTCTTCTGCGTAACTCGAAACTTCCCGGATGAGAACAACTGAATTTTACAAAAAAAGTGCTCAAAATTGGACATGGGAAACTATTGTTTGAAAACTTACTTAATTAACCCATTCATACTTTTGTAAGGCTTGCTTATTGTTGAGTTGTAAGCGATTGTCATGTACGTACTTTATGCTATTCCGAGTTTCGTGAAACGTAAGTCTGAACAAAAGGTGGGCAGAATGGTGTTAATTCCACGCAAACACCATTATGTGATTTGTTGTTGTTGTAGTTGAGTTTTGGAAAGGAACAAAATTAAGAAGAGACAGCATTATTGGCATAGCTGCACTTCACGATTTGAAATATACTCAAAATATAAAACCACAAAAGCAAACTTTGTAGTACTACTTATCTTTTCCTCTGAATCCTTTAAACCCCTCATTTCCGTTAACCATTAAAAGTTTACTCTTAAGTAAACTTGCGATGCTTAAACTGATCAAATGTTATACATTTCTTTTACCGCACACATATTCTCAAACAAGGACGGGGAAAATGAGTCTGATCCCTGCTAAATCCGTGAAATCCGTCTTTCCCGCTGAATTTTAGAAGTTTACATTGAAGAGCACTTACAGTGCCGTTAAGTGGATCAATTGTAATATATTAGCTTACGAAACATCTTCTCAAACAAGGACGGGAAAGATGGATTCGACGGGTTCGACGGGGATATGAATTTTTAATGAAATAGTTAATCATATACTTCTCTTTAAAACTGTAAGTACATTTTAAAGGAATATTTATTAAATGTTGCTAAGAAATTACTTACAGTATTCAAGAGTAGTTTACAATATGATATATCATGAAAAATTCATATCCTCGCTAAATCTGTCAAATCCGTCTTTCCCGATGAATTTTAGAAGTTTACATGGAAGGGAACTTACGGTGCTGGTAAGTGGATATCTGTAGTATGTTAGCTTCCGAAACGTCCTGTCAAAGACGGGAAAGACGGATTTGACGGGAGTAACAGGAGAGCGACTACCTAACAACAGAATTCACTATAAAGCGGTGTTTTTGGCTTTAAGCATCTTTGTCATCACTGACAAAGAAGGAACTCAATTTTGGGAAGCCTTTAAGGCTAACATATCTTCACACAGTATAGGAACAAGCGTGCCTTTCTATGGTCGTTCCTCTCACGAGGAACTCTATTACGGAAAAACGTCTAGATTGATTTGTAGTTTTTAGCAAAAGATCTGAGAATGTACTTTTCTGCCATTTCCTCTATAAAACTGCCAAGAGATATAGTTTTAGAAAGATTTTCGAAGTACTTAGTATTATTTTACGGCTTCAAAAAAAGGAAACTGACTTTTTGGGAAACGATCATTATCATTGTCATTTTCTTTGTCATTATCATTATCAATATCATTGTCATTGTCATTGTCATTGTCATTATCATTGTCATTGTCATTACCATTGTCATTGTCATTATAAATGGAATGAGTAATGATGCCCCCATACATGAGTGTGAAAGTGAGATAGGCCACTACGCCGGGCACTACGTGCCCTACACTTTACGAAGAGTGTGTGGGTTCTTTAACGTCCCACAGATTTAATACATGTGCAAGGGCTTGTGAGACGGGGCCTACGGTTTATCGTCCTTATCCGAGAAGACTAGAGAGTCTAGCCGTTTGCAGATATTATTACAAAGGCAGCACTTTCTCCTCAGTTATTTAAAGACCCTGAGTGTTGGTCCGGCCGGGGTTTGAACCCGCGACCTCCCGCTCAGTAGACCGGCGCTCTCCCATTATTATTATCGTTATAATTATCATTATCATTATCATTATCAGTATCATTATCATTGTCACTGTCACAGTAATTATCATTGTCATTACCATTGTAATTGTCATTATCATTGTCATTATCTTTGTCATTATTATTATCGTTATAATTATCATTATCATTGTCATTATCATTATCATCATGGTTATCGTTATCGTTGTCATTGTCATTATCATTGTCATTATGTTGACATTATCGTTGTCATTATCATTGTATCATTGTCATTATCATTAACGGCGTGAGCTTGTAAATTAGTATTTTAGGATCTTTTTGATATTTTTATTTCATCAAAATTTTAGTCTATGATGGTGGAATGCAAATGGTCATATGATGACTGCCGCTTAAAAGCTAGCCAAGCGTATGTCAGCTAAAATTAGAAAGTCGATAATGGCGTGAGCTTGTAAATAAGTGTTTTAAGATATTTTAATGTTGTTGTTTCATCAAAATGTTAGTCTATGATAGTGCAAGTTGCCAAGATTGTTAGTTATAGTTTTTAAGACTATCCATTTTGACACGATGCTAAGTTGTCCAGGTGGATTGTATCAAACAAGAGCTACGACACACGATCTGGGGGGAACAAACACAATTACTTAAGGAAAAAACTCACGGTTTACATTCGTTTTAGTACGCATGTACAACACTGTGGAAGAGGATCCCTGATCGAGGACATGAGGTCTACGACATTACTTAGGGAGTTCAAATTCAAAGTGCGCCAAATTTCGTTTGAACACTGTAATAATGCAAGTAATATGTAGTTAAATATTTTTCGTCTAGTGCTATATTTCCTTTCATTTATTTTATTATTATTATTATTATTATCATTTTATTATTATTATTTTTACTTTAGTTAACTCTTTATTTTCCTCTCTCTCGGAGATATTATTAGCTTTAAGAGCTACACCGTAAATCTACGGATAAATAAAGGTCATGTATGGATGTATGTACATGAATTTAAATTGGTCATATGTTCATTATTATTATTATTATTATTATTATTATTATTAAATCCATCTACAACGGGTGACGCTTAGACGTACAAGTGTTTAATGTCATTTGTGTTCCTGTAAAAACCGTATACTAAAACATTTGACACGGAATTTAATTTTACGATTTCTTTACCTTCGTTGTGACTTGTTTCGGAACCTCTATTCAAAACAGGGGCGTTGGGACAGTAAAACAACCATTTCCCCCCAAAATTATCGCAAGTTGCATAAATTTTACAAAACGAGGGTCAATACAATGCAACAACATAGACTTACATATGAAGTTAAGATGTTCTTACTTATGAATGTAACACGTTGAAAGAAATAGCTGTCTTTGCCATTTTGACGGTCGAGACGGTCATAGTTGACAGCAGAGTTGGCAATACGAACATTTAATGTTAATATTATAAGTGCCATGTTACCAACACGTTATTGCCCCATGGTGCTGCGAAAGTAAGTTTTAAATCTGCGCAACGCACTGAATGATCGTTCTGCAGCACACGATGTTGCAGGTAGCACTTCAAGGATATGTACCACATTAGAAAACACAGGAAACAAATCAAATAGATCATTCTTGTGCATTGTCTCCGGCATTTCTGGAACAGTCATGTAGAATCTCGCCGTCGATTTTGTCAAATTTGGCAACGTAGGAGAAGCTTTCTTTATCAGCTGTTTCACTGTGACAGATGTTTCCCAAAGCACAGAGTATTTCCTGGTCGTTTCCGCTAAACCTGAGCTTAAACTCGGACAGCACCTTTAGCTTGTTGATGGACGCATAGTAAATGTTAATACGGTGGTTAGCCCGGGCCACAGACGAAACTAAACTCTGGTTAAATCCGTCTGCGAAACAGGGCTGAAATCCTTGTTCTGGGTCTCCACTTATGTACAAAGATTTGAAAACGCGCCATGATTGGACTTTTAAAAAAGGCAATCGATTTGCCAATAAGGGGGGGAAGTTGTTCGGGAGGGGGGGGGGTTGGGGGCAGAACAAGGATTTCGGCGCTGCTTCGCAGACGTTACTAACCGAGGTTAAATTATTTCTTTGACGAAGGCTATACAGTGGTGTGATTCCGGTGTCAGCTGCGTTTGTCTTTGCGCGTGTTCACCTACTAAGGCTGGAAGGTGGCGCAATGGCGTTCATCTGAGTGCCCTGGCTTCTCGTAAAACAAACTGAGAATTAGTCGGCCACTTCTTCATTTTCAGACGCACTGCTGATGCTATCTGCCTTACGCTAATGAAACTTGCTTCACTCCGACACTAGCTTTGGGTCTGAATGGTTATATCAGCATTTCTACGAGCGGAGATGATTCTAGAAAGTTATGCGGAAGTTGATTCAAAACAATTCTTGTCTGGAAAGACCCCACACCAACTGGTTCAGTGCAGTACAGTGCCCTTAAAAAAAAAATACAAATATGTAAATCAACACACGATACCCTTCACTAATAACCAGAAATTCATCACCTGCTGAGCAACCACTGTCTCGTGTGAATTTAACTGGATCTACCACGCCCACTTCAGGTTAATTTCTATTGCTGCCCCCCCTCCTTCAAAAGTGAGTTGCCCAAATTTGGGGGGGAGAGCGCTGCAGCCCTTCTTCCCCCCACCCCGGCCCGTACGCCTATGAATTTACAATCTTCTTATCGAGCAGTCTTTGTTGTTTACGACTCTGCTTTTCTGGTGTTTTGCAGGAAGGAATCGTGATAATTGACAGTCCTGGAGTTGGCGAGTCTGCTATCATGGACGAGATAGTCAAACAGTATCTACCCCAAGCGTTTGCTTTCATCTATGTCATTAACAGTATAAATGCAGGCGGAGTTCAGAAAGACAGAGTAAGTGTTAAACAGCCGTGTAAACAATCGTTCGCTACTTTTTGCTAAATGAATTTAACTCGCTGAATATTCGAAATTAATTTTACTCAGTGATTTTTCCTTCAGAAATGCATAGATACAGTTAGTTAGGGAAGCTTCAGTAGTAATTGCCTCATTTCAGAAATACAGATTTTTTTGTTTAAAGTTCGCATGTGTATGTAGAGATTCTTTCTTGCTTTTCACTGCTCGTGTAGCATTTAACCCTCGAGTTTAGTAGTAGACTAGGGTCAAAGATAAGCCTCGTTGGTGGATAGGTAAGGATAGTTTAGGGATAGGTAAATCATTGATGTGGATAAGTGCCTAGTCTATGACGTCACCTCGGAAAGAAGTGCATTCCTCCGTATTAATTTAAGTGCCTAGTCAGTGTCTTCCTGCATACTAATTCAGTATAGGTTTACTAATGAGCGTCACTCTACTTCAATAGGAACAATAGGCTTGCCTAGACTTGCCCGTTAAGTAACTTGAGCCCGGTTTTCAGATCATCTATTAAAAGGAATAAGAGAAGCGATCACCTAGCAACGCGAGAAACGGCTTCCTATATCTTATTTAGCGCTTAAACTCGGATATATAAACAAAACACACGCACATATACACAAATTGGAGCTAAAAACGCTCTATTTTAAGTTTGTCTGACTATTACAGAACCGTTTTCTCCGTTCTATCTCTCGAGGAAATGAAAGTCTTGTCATTTTCACGCACGGTTAATCAGTTAATTATGCGAGTTCACATGCCCAAAGTTGAATACAAATTAGTTGTACAGGCTCAAGGGAGCAACCTTGACGTATTATTATAAAACAAATAACTTAACAAGCATCAATTAAAACACGCGACTCATAATTGCTAGCAATAAAAAGACAAGAGAGATACCGTTTTAAAAAACTTTATTAAAAACAAAAAGAGTCAAATACACAGGAATGGAAATTAATTAATCTTCATCTTCGTTCTCCTCTGTAGAAGGGGCATAGAAATTGGTTTCCAACGTTTTCGCGTTTTTGTGTGTATCTGCTCCGCAATCGTGACACGGAAGAAAGCCCTCTTTCATGTAATGTCTCCCCTCGGGAATCTGGTGATCGCATATAGGACAAATCTTGTAGTAATTGTGCCAAAGGCATTTAGGACATTTCATGATCAATGTCCCGTACACATTAGAGTTTTCGCAGTGTTCACAGGGACTTTTGGAGTGAAAGGTGGTGGACGTTTCAGGGTTACTACTTTCTATCTCCTGACTGTCGTTTTCAGTGTCGTTGTCGCACTCTTGGGTGTCTTCCGCTTCAACGCCATTCTCAGAAGCCACTTCCTCCTCCTCCTCCTGATTTTCAATATCCGATGAACTCTCCTCATTATTACTCTCGTTATCGGAAGTATTTTCTACATTTTGGTAGCCTTTTTCCTTTTCTATTAAATCACTTAACAACTTTTTGTTCTTGATTAAACCTTTATGGATTCCTAACTCTGCAAGTCCATCTAGAAACGTATTCAGCGCACGAGGCCTTGTAACATCATTGTTATGAGGGAGTAACACATGCTCAACTAGCTCAGCGATGTTTGTGACGGGAATAGTGCGTTTATTTCGAAGTAATTGTCCGCTGGGGGTCCACAAAAGAATATCTTTGGACGCAACCATACTATGCAGCAAATCAGAAGCACGCTTTTCCGGCGCTGCTCGGGAAAGATGACTCAAAACATCTTTTATTCTCGGTTCTTCTTTTATTCTTGGTTCCTCATCCTCGCTTTCATCACCAGAACTTTCGCTTTCTTCATGTTCACTCTCGTGATCTTCTTCTTCAACCAGATCTATCGTTCTCTTCATTTTTGAAGAACACCCGTGACAGACTTAGCTTCCAATGATCAACCTAGCGATGTGTCACCTCTTTTATAGTATTAGAAATCCTAAGCTTGAAACGACAGGGGCTAATACATCTTCAATAAAACCACTATCCTCCTGAACAAGGACTCGCTTCTTTGTTTTGAAAGGGACATTTGGACTGGCCAGGTTAAGTAAAGCATCCTTATATGGCAGCAATACCCGCTTATTTCCTTCGGAGATAGGAATGTGTCTCATGAGTAAATTGTATAAGACTTGGACTAGTGCATGAAGTTGCTGTGGTGTAGCTGTCTTTAAAAGAAACTGGCGCTGATAAGCGGGGCAAGCAGCTAACAGCTGAAGAAAACCACGATTGTTGTTCACTACACGAGACATTGCTACAAAATGAACTAAGAATGGCAGTTGGTAGTCTTTTATAGAATCTGGTGGAGGGAAAACAATAGAAATGTGGTGGCGGTGGTGATGGTGGTGGAGGAAAACAATAGAAATGTGGTGGTGGTGGTGGAGGGAAAACAATAGAAATGTGGTGGTGGTGGTGGTGGTGGAGGGAAAACAATAGAAATGTGGTGGTGGTGGTGGTGGAGGGAAAACAATAGAAATGTGGTGGTGGTGGTGGAGGAAAACAACAGAAATGTGGTGGTGGTGGTGGTGGTGGTGGTGGTGGAGGGAAAACAATAGAAATGTGGTGGTGGTGGTGGAGGGGAAACAATAGAAATGTGGTGGTGGTGGTGGTGGAGGGAAAACAATAGAAATGTGGTGGTGGTGGTGGAGGGAAAACAATAGAAATGTGGTGGTGGTGGAGGGAAAACAATAGAAATGTGGTGGTGGTGGTGGAGGGAAAACAACAGCAATGTGGTGGCGGTGGTGGTGGTGGTGGTGGTGGTGGTGGTGGAAAGAAAACAATAGAAATGTGGTGGTGGTGGTGGAGGGGAAACAATAGAAATGTGGTGGTGGTGGTGGTGGTGGAGGGAAAACAATAGAAATGTGGTGGTGGTGGTGGAGGGAAAACAACAGAAATGTGGTGGCGGTGGTGGTGTTGGAAAGAAAACAATAGAAATGTGGTGGTGGTGGTAGTGTTGGTCTTGAGGGAGGAAAACAGTAGAATCTTGTGGCCTGAAAACCTATATAAATGCGCAACATTCTACCTCTTTCTTAGTCTACATTTTGCTCCTGAGGAGTTGACATGAGTTGGTTCTGTTCTGTCTGCGAAAAATCCTTTAGTAGAAAAGATAGTATGCAAAGACACGTGATGTCTAAACACCGCAATGCTGGTCTCACCCCATTTCAAACAGTTCCAATATTTTCACAGAAATGTCAGCGGTTTCGCTTCGAGCATCCTTTCACCTCCATGATTGCCGGAATGACCGGGTCCGGAAAACGGTCGCTATTGCAACAAGCTTCAGAGACCATTTACCCTCCCCCGGATAGGATCGTTTGGTGTTGTTCACAATGGCAGCCTGCGTATACACAAATGTTAGTCGCCATGCCAAACATTGAATTCGTCAAGGGAATTCCTACGGCTTTGGAGCAGGATTCCTATTTTGATGTGAACAAACGGAATTTGATCGTATTTGATGATCAGATGATTGACGCCAGTAAAGACAAGCGAATTGTGAACCTCTTTACTCGCAGTTCTCATCATCGCAATCTGAGCGTGATTTATATCGTGCAGAATCTATTTCATCAGGGGAAAGGTAGCCGCAGCATAAGCCTAAACAGCCATTATCTGGTGTTATTCAAGAATCCACGAGACAAATTGCAAATCTTGACTCTAGCGAAGCAAATGTCATAACAGGCCAGAGCGCCGATTTTAAGTACTAGGCGACTTTGAAAGACGCGTGCTTCACATATTTGTGGTGGATTAGAATGCCGGCTTGGTCAGAGGCCCTTTGTTTAAAACATGGCGGGATACTCGCAGCTTAAGGCAAGCATGTGCCTTGTAGCTGTCAACATAATGCTTTTTAATTACATTCTGTCATAATTAACAAAACCCGATCCATGTTTGATTGAAAGTAATTGTACAAATCTGGTACCAGACAAACCGCTTTTAAAAAACAAAAACACAAAACTAGTTTATGGTTATTTCTCATTAATTTCACTTGATCAAAACAAATATTTACTTTTATCAGTTTTCCCGTTTCTTTCAAAACATCCTTCATTTCCGGGCGTTTCACCGTAGTCAATGAAAGATGCGTTTTATCGGTCTTCTTTTTTCGCGGGAATATCAAAATTTCCATCTTTCAAAACGCGATGAACCAAAGCTCGCAGGATACCAAAGCGCCAAAGGCGCACGATGCAGTCCCGGTGTTTTGTGAGCATCCGTTAAAAATATTGAACGCCAAAACTATCAAGTTTTGGTACAGCGAGAGGCAGCTAGTTTCTGTACCCAAAGGTTAGTGCATGGACAGGCTATCGAAAGAAAATAAAAGGGATGGTTGCCCAATGGATAGCAGGCCTAACTACGCAAAAAAAATGTCTCATTGCATCCTTGTCTGCGAGGTTAGTACTAAATTTACACTCTAGAATACATTACAGAACTCAATCAGCAACACTTTGCAAGTAGAATTGGTGATCAGTGTGGGCAATTTATATTTCTAAGGGACGTCCGTCGCACAAAGGCTTAACGCGCGGGGGTTTTTAGTCAATGACTGACATAACAGTTTCCTCACAATCGACCCAGTTAGAATGCGATAATGTGCGAGTGAACTTTGCCTACAACTGGCAATAAGCTGAATAAACCGGAAGCTGAACACCATGAATAAGTTACCTAATTACATTGCAGGTTCTTTTTCTTTTTTTTCAACTACCGGAGAGGTTTTTCGTGCATTCTGTTGCGCAGTTTGGCAGTGATATTCCTGCAATGGTTTTAGTACAGGTCCCGTTGCCGAAACCTTGCACCAGCGAGATACGGTAATCGAGAGTCGAAAATCGAGAATCGATATTGTACTCGGGACAAGAAAAGGTCGCCGTCCAAGGAACAACTGATGAAAAGCAAGAGCTTCAAGCTGCTGAGAATCGCCAATTCTGGATTACAAGCAGTGAAGGAACTCCTGAGAAGCGTCCAAATTATAAAGGAACTTTGGAGGCAAGTCAGCCACGGTGATTGTCGCACCACGCATAAAGTAGAATAAATTTGTTAGCCTGGTCTTGTCTTTGCCACAAATCACGTAAAACTATAAAGAAGGTACCACTATGAACTCTGGAAAATGAAAATTCAATAATACTATGGTTGACGACTGACAGTTTAAAAGAGAGACAACCTTCACCTCAGAATCTTGGGCGCGCCGCCTGTAAGCTCTGAGGGAGAGGGAAGCCCCTTAATTTGGCCTATTTCAAAAACAAATGACACTACAAAAATAACCTACAATTATAATTTCAAAAGAGAGACTACCATGACCTCAGAATCTTGGGCGCGCCGCCTGTAAGCTCTGAGGGAGAGGGAAGCCCCTTAATTTGGCCTATTTCAAAAACAAATGACACTACAAAAATAACCTACAATTATAATTTCAAAAGAGAGACTACCATGACCTCAGAATCTTGGGCGCGCCGCCTGTAAGCTCTGAGGGAGAGGGTAGCCCCATATTTTGGCCTATTTCAAAACAAATGACACTACAAAGAAGAACTAAAATAATAATTTGAATGATGACCGACATTTCAAAAGAGAGACTACCATCACCTCAGAATCTTGGGCGCGCCGCCTGTAAGCTCTGAGGGAGAGGGTAGCGCCATAATTAATTTGGCCTATTTCAAAAACAAATGACACTACAAAAATAACCTACAATAATAATTTCAAAAGAGAGACTACCATGACCTCAGAATCTTGGGCGCGCCGCCTGTAAGCTCCGAGGGAGAGGGTAGCCCCATAATTTGGCCTATTTCAAAACAAATGACAAAACAAAGATGACCTACAATAATAATTTGGATAATGACCGACATTTCAAAAGAGAGACTACCATCACCTCAGAATCTTGGGCGCACCGCCTGTAAGCTCTGAGGGAGAGGGTAGCCCCATAATTAATTTGGCCTATTTAAAAAACAAATGACACTACAAAAATAACCTACAATAATAATTTGGATAATGACCGACATTTCAAAAGAGAGACTACCATCACCTCAGAATCTTGGGCGCGCCGCCTGTAAGCTCTGAGGGAGAGGGCAGCCCCATATTTTGGCCTATTTCAAAACAAATGACAGTACAAAGAAGAACTAAAATAATAATTTGAATAATGACCGACATTTCAAAAGAGAGACTACCATCACCTCAGAATCTTGGGCGCGCCACCTGTAAGCTCTGAGGGAGAGGGTAGCCCCATATTTTGGCCTATTTCAAAACAAATGACAGTACAAAGAAGAACTAAAATAATAATTTGAATAATGACCGACATTTCAAAAGAGAGACTACCATCACCTCAGAATCTTGGGCGCGCCGCCTGTAAGCTCTGAGCGAGAGAGCAGCCCCATAATTTGGCCTATTTCAAAAACAAATGACACTACAAAAATAACCTACAACAATAATTTGGATAAATGACCAACATTTTAAAAGAGAGACTACCATCACCTCAGAATCTTGGGCGCGCCGCCTGTAAGCTCTGAGGGAGAGGGTAGCCCCATAATTTGGCCTATTTCAAAACAAATGACAAAACAAAGATGACCTACAATAATAACCTACAATAATAATTTGGATAATGACCGACATTTCAAAAGAGAGACTGCCATCACCTCAGAAACTTGGGCGCGCCGCCTGTAAGCTCTGAGGGAGAGGGTAGCCCCATATTTTGGCCTATTTCAAAACAAATGACACTACAAAAATAACCTACAATAATAATTTGGATAATGACCGACATTTCAAAAGAGAGACTACCATCACCTCAGAATCTTGGGCGCGCCGCCTGTAAGCTCTGAGGGAGAGGGTGGCCCCATAATTTGGCCTATTTCAAAAACAAATGACACTACAATAATAACCTACAATAATAATTTGGATAAATGACCAACATTTTAAAAGAGAGACTACCATCACCTCAGAATCTTGGGCGCGCCGCCTGTAAGCTCCGAGGGAGAGGGTAGCCCCATAATTTGGCCTATTTCAAAACAACTGACAAAACAAAGATGACCTACAATAATAATTTGGATAATGACCGACATTTCAAAAGAGAGACTACCATCACCTCAGAATCTTGGGCGCGCCGCCTGTAAGCTCTGAGGGAGAGGGTAGCGCCATAATTAATTTGGCCTATTTAAAAAACAAATGAAACTACAAAAATAACCTACAATAATAATTTGGATAATGACCGACATTTCAAAAGAGAGACTACCATCACCTCAGAATCTTGGGCGCGCCGCCTGTAAGCTCTGAGGGAGAGGGTAGCCCCATAATTTGGCCTTTTTCAAAAACAAATGACAGTACAAAAACAATCTACAAAAATAATTTGTATTATGACCGACATTTTAAAAGAAAGACTATCTTCACCTCTGAATCTTGGGCGCGCCGCCTGTAAGCTCTGGGGGAGAGGGTAGCCCTTAAATTTGGCCTATGACACTACAAAAATCACCTACAAAAATTGTTTGGATTATGACCGACATTTCAAAAGAGAGACTACCATCACCTCAGAATCTTGGGCGCGCCGCCTGTAAGCTCTGAGGGAGAGGGTAGCCCTATAATGTGGCCTATTAATTAAGTAAAAAGCAAGTAACAATACAAAGGTAACCTGAAATAATAATTTTTGGATTATTATGAAAATGACTGATGTAGAAACCATACTGTATCTGTGACGTTGATTATACAGATCGCCCACGCGAACACGAAGATGTTGAAGTGGAAGCTAGAATATCTGGAGTAATCCAGCGTCTTGGGCTCCTTCCAGCGAATAAGATTTTGGCGGGATTTCGACAGTGCTTGGCGGGCTTTTTGGAGAGTGATTTGTCACTGGAGGCACATCGACGCTTACATCGTCTTAAGCCAGAGAAAAAAGACTTGAATCCTTCGCCGTTTGATCAAAAAGGTAGTCCATTGAATCAGATAATCGGTGTTGCTGTTCCTCAAGGGGATGTGAAGTAGAGCTCGAGCTCTCGCCTTCGTTTTCTCCGGCTACTATAAAATGTGAATTGTTGACGGCTTTTCTCAAACGTTCAAATAGAGAAGATTTAAAAATTTCTTTGGTCAGGGTCTTTTCCAAGCCGAGTTCCTTCCAAACCGGAGAAAGATGTGCCAGCAGAGAGTGTATTCCTACTTGCGGCTCCACAGTAAAAACTTGATACGCCGACTCGCTGTTTTCGCTTCGAAGGTCACCAATGTTGACACGGCATACCACTCTTGGCAGAAGTTAAATAAGCCATCGAAGCACTATTTTCTTAAAAGAAAGCACTTGAAAAACCATTGAAAGCGTATCAAGCCTATTTGAATCCAAATGCGGCGAGCAAACTGTAGTTATCAATTGCGAAGCCAGAGGAGCGAAGATCGACTTCCAAATTTTCAATCGACCGTGAAATGAATTTATAATACCCAAATAGTCTGATCAAATTTCGCGTTTCCTTGAGATGTCTGGTTCGTTTAATCAGAAGTACAAAGTTCCTTGACAGGCAATGTGTCCGGTGCTCTCCAAAGGTGTCTGGAGGAATGCTTAAAACTAATTACCTTGTCTGTTATTGGAAACCGATTTGCGGTGGTTGCTGTGGAGATTAGGCCTCCTCCAGCGCGCACTAAAATCGGGCCTCTGGCCTGTTATGTCCCGGGCAGACGGATTTCTTTTTAAATCAGTACGAAGAGGCTGTAAAAAGACCTTTTGGTTATCTTCTGATTGATCTGAAAACTACTACCCAAGATAATTGTCGGTTGCCAACAAACGTCCTGCCCAGTGAAGAAGGCTTTAACCAAGCAGGGTTTCAAGAAAATATTCCTCAAGAGCTCCTAAAATATCTGAAGCAGCAAACTCTTTCCCCTGTCCCACTTCTTCCGGCTATGCAAGAAATACAGGGCAACATGGATGACGTGCTTTCTCGAAACGATCTTCGGGACGATGAAAAAGCTAAGCGATACGTTCAGTTGCAAAACAGATACCTGGCTTTTAAAGAACAATTAAATACAAGAACACGACCGGAAGAAATAATCAGTACTGTTCCAGACTTAACATCAAGGACACAAGATTCTTCGACAGCAACGACAGCATTCTCCACTCCCCTCAACCCCTTTAATGTAACACCTGAATTAAGACAAGCAGCTATCTCTCAAAAACCTGACAAAGAAAGCCTCACCCCTCCACCACCCTTAAATCCTGCTTTCCTGACCCCTCCTCTCACAGTAGAAACCCTATCACAACAAGGCCCGAAGCGCAAAAGGCGTCGGATTCAATTTCTAAATTATTTGGATGATCATAAATCTCATGGCAAACAGCTGAAGAAACGTCGGCATAAGAAATTCAAACCTTACAAGTACTCCATGGGCGAAGATGAAGATTAATTAATTTCCATTCCTGTGTATTTGACTCTTTTTGTTTTTAATAAAGTTTTTTAAAACGGTATCTCTCTTGTCTGGTTTTATTGCTACAATTATGAGTCGCGTGTTTTAATTGATCCTTGTTAAGTTATTTGTTTTATAATAATACGTCAAGGTGCTCCCTTGAGGTTTTTCCCGTACAACTAATTTGTATTCAACTTTGGGCTTGTGAACTCGCATAATTAACTGATTAACCGTGCGTGAAAATGACAAGACTTTCATTTCCTCGAGAGATAGAACGGAGAAAACGGTTCTGTAATAGTCAGACAAACTTAAAATAGAGCGTTTTTAGCTCCAATTTGTGTATATGTGCGTGTGTTTTGTTTATATATCCGAGTTTAAGCGCTAAATAAGATATAGGAAGCCGTTTCTCGCGTTGCTAGGTGATCGCTTCTCTTATTCCTTTTAATAGATGATCTGAAAACCGGGCTCAAGTTACTTAACGGGCAAGTCTAGGCAAGCCTATTGTTCCTATTGAAGTAGAGTGACGCTCATTAGTAAACCTATACTGAATTAGTATGCAGGAAGACACTGACTAGGCACTTAAATTAATACGGAGGAACGCACTTCTTTCCGAGGTGACGTCATAGACTAGGCACTTATCCACATCAATGATTTACCTATCCCTAAACTATTCTTACCTATCCACCAACGAGGCTTATCTTTGACCCTAGTCTACTACTGAGTTTGCCTTTAACTGCTTTTCTTGTGCGACAAGCGGTGAAATTCAGCACTTACCAAACTAACGGCAGAAAATTGACCGAAGAAGATTAAAACGGATTACTTTTAAGTAATCTTCAAAATCGGTTCCTCCACTTTTTGCTCGAGTTCACTAGTTGTCTAATTTATATGGAGAAGTGACTTAGAAGCCTTGATAAACAGTTTGTTTCAGGTCGACCGTAGTCTGCTTCACATCCGTTCTTTGTGTCATCACGCTTCGCTCCTAGGTAATCACACAAAGAACGGCTGTGTAGCTGACTGCGTTGACCTCTATTGACGATAATTCCCACAAGCGACCATCTCTTGTTACAGACTCCGTTTCTCCATTCCGGGGCTGTCAGCAGCACGGAGCTGTTTAAGGGTTTAGCGTCGGCGTAAGTAGTGAAATATAAAGTCTATTTTAGCACCTTACAAGTCTTGAGAGGGATGGCTCTAATCGCATCGTTTTTGTAGCGAAGAAATAACATAAATATCTTTTTCGTCTTCTCAATTGTTGCAATTTTTATAAACGAAGGGAAAGGCTAAGTGGTTTTAGAGAAAAGTAATTTGCAAACAGCCTAAGAATGAACCAAATCTTGAACTCACATCGAGTTCATGGCCTCATATGTACACCCAAAAAATAGCAATCATCTTCGATCACATTTAAGAGCCATAATGGCTCTGATCACCGTAGATTAATTAGGCCTGGAAAAAAGTCAGGCCGAATTTTTTACGTTTGACAAGATTACTTTACAAAATCTTGCCAACAAATCTGGGTGCGTGTACACCAACCTTTTATGCCATTTATACATCACATATGAGGTGAAACAGTACTATGAGGCATTGTTTTTTTCATACAGACCTCGGGCAGAAAGCAGTATTTCACAATTTTGCAATACAAATTGCACTCATTCAATTTTCAGGACGATCGAAGCACGCGTGGGTTTTTAGTTAAACTGTTAAAAAAATTCCCAAAATCACCTATACGGCCAGCCGGTTCTCACTGTTGCAGTTTGAGCTGTGCTCGAGTATTTGAATGAGCAGTAATAGTAGTCTGTTTACGGCACATTGTTATGCAAATGAGGTTAGTCGCCATACAAACCCTTCTAATTTTGGAATGATGAAAGTCAACAGCGGACACCATAGCGGACACCCTAATCGCAACATCCGTTACTATGACAGCGAACTGAATGATGATGACATAGGAGAAGGTGGCGAACCAATTTTGGACGAATTGTCTTACCCTAATAAGTCGAGTGCAGTGCTTAGGGTTAAATCAGTCGAGTGCAGTGCTTAGGGCTAAATCAGTCGAGGGCAGTGTTTAGGGCTAAATCAGTCGAGGGCAGTGCTAACTTATCCTCGCTTGAAGTCACAGTTGAGTGGATATGGTAATGAAACAGATTAAAGTTCGAGAGACCACAGTGACGTCACCCACCGATTTGCTGATTCAGCAGAAATTGTTTCTATTTTTAGACGATGACGTCATTATTTTGACTAGAACAGGTATAAAAGACGGATATCAACCATGAAAAATCATTTGAGATCATTGTGTCCTTGTGTAAAGATCGATCATGTGCAAAGCAACGTATCCACGAGCTTGTCCCACATGCGGAAAGACAATCAAGAACAGGGGAAATTTCTTTCGTCATAAGAAACGTTGTGGGACTTCGGAGCATCGCGTTCAATGTCTATACTGCCATAAGACATATTCAAGAAAAGACGATTTGCAGAAACATGTTCGTAAGGTCCATTCCGAAGCAGGAAAGCGAAAAGCAGAAGAGTCGGCTGAACTATTACGCCTTGAGTTATTGCATTCAGACAAAGTTCCAACACTAGTCAGTGATGAAAGTCAGCAGGGTGGCGCTGTGAATACTCGAAGTATGAAAAAAGACCCCGAGAGTGTAAAGGAGGACCTAAAACCTATGAAAGACGAAACACGGGCAGTTAAAAGAAAATTAGAAGACGACATGGACATGTCTCACCGGTTGGATGATGGCAGTGACGACTTTTTGGTAGAGAGAGCCAATCGTTTAGAGCTGTCTGAGAATCCTTTGTTGAAAGCCAATCTCACGTTTCTACCATACAAACGGCAGGGTTTGAAGGGTGCGGTCAAGAAAGAACAATTTTCCGTCACGTTTGATCAGCTACGTAAACCCACAGAAGAGGAATCATTGGGAGAGGGTTTGTCAGAGTCCCTGTTTGAAGCGGTAAGGAACACGATCCTAAACGAAAACCTGCAGGATTCAACAAAAGTTCATCTGACTTTAACCTCAAAGGAACATTCCAACGGCACTGTAAATTCGGGATATTTATCCCACGTAAAATATGGCATCCCAGTCCAAGAGTTTGTGAAACGTGGTGATTATGTACATGCCATGTTCGAGTCACTGGCAAGAAAAATGAATAGCGCTCAAAATATGAATCCAGCCATTGGGTTCAATGCCACTCTCACATTTATCACCTACCCTGACAAAGGTTCCAAAGGTAGAGCTTCTAAAAATCCAAACAGATTACCCTTTGATTTGATGCACAAAAAGAAAGACTGTATGATCAAGATCAAAAACACAGATGACTTACGTTGTGCCCGTGCAATCATAACGATGAAAGAGTACGTGGATGGCGATCCTGACAAGCAATATGATAATCTACGAAGAGGTAGACCTATTCAGGAACGCCTAGCCAAGCAGCTTCACCAAGACGCGGGTGTACCAGAAGGCCCGTGTGGTTATGAAGAACTAGAAAAATTTCAAGCGTTTCTAGGACCCCAAGGCTACAAAATCATCGTGGTAGATTACGTCTCTTGTGCCTGTATTTTTCAAGGCAAAGTGGATCAGTACAGCAAAGTCATTTATTTGCTTAAACACGAGAATCACTACAATGGTTTAAGAAGCATGATTGCTTTTTTGAATCGGTCGTACTTTTGCCCTGATTGCTGTAAAGGGTACGATGTAGACGACGCAGCCCACCATTCTTGTATGGGCCGTAACTGCGCAAGTTGTCAACGAACACGTTCTCAGAAAAATAAAGGGGGCTGCCCAGATTTTTCCCCAGGCAAGAAACGTACAATTCACTGCAATGACTGTCAGCGTGATTTCTATGGTCCAGATTGTTTCAAAGCCCATAAAGAACCAAAAGGCAAGAAAAAAGTCAGTCTTTGTCAGAAACTCAAAAAGTGTCTAAAATGCTGTAAAGTTTATAAGGTGAATCCAAAGCAGCAACACAAATGCTACCACGACACTTGCCGTCACTGCCATGAATTTGTTGAAATATACAATCACAAATGTTACATCCAACGTGTTGAAGAGGCAGACGATGAGGAACACGATGATGATGATGATGATGACGAAGAAAAGAAGCTACCACCTCTCATGGTGTTTGCTGACATCGAATGTTTGATAGAACCCACAGAGCAGGGAAGGCAGTTATTCATAGCAGATTTGATTCGATATGCTACTGAAGAAGATCCACACAATGTTTCTCATGCCTTAAGTGGCGAAACCTGCATTCAAAAGTTTATTGACGCGATGAATCAACTAACAGCAGTGGGAGACAAACAGCGCGATTTATTTATAATTTTTCACAACCTCAAGGGTTTTGATAGCAACTTCATCATCGAGGAACTTTACCGTCAGGGTATTAAGGTGGAAAACCAGCTGACGACGGGCGCCAAAACCCTGAAGTTTCATTACTGGTATCTGGATGCCACGATTACCTTCAAAGATTCGCTGTGTTTTCTCCCCATGCCACTAGCAGAGTTGCCTGAAACATTCAATTTCGTGGAGCTCCATAAAGGTTTTTTTCCGCATGCGTTCCATACAAGAGAGAATTTATCTTACAGAGGTCGTCTACCAGCAAAGCAGTATTTTCAACCACAAGCCATGAAACACAAGAAACGAAAGGAGTTTGAAACTTGGTACGAGAGGGAATTGGCAAGACAAGACGACTATGTCCTCTGGGAGGAGTTAAACAAATATTGCCATTCGGATGTGATGGTCCTCAAAGCTGCCTGCCTAAAGTTTAAAGAAGAATTTGAAGAAGAAGCGGGGTTTAATCCTTTTGCAAAATGTGCAACCATTGCCTCTGCATGCAATTTATTCTGGAGACGAGAACTCATCCAAGATGATACCATTGCGATAGAACCCTTGATCGGTTGGCGTGGCGCGAATGTAAATCAGAGCACAGCAGCACTAGAATGGTTGTGTTTTGAAGATTTCAAACTAGGAGGAAACAAAATACGCCATGTAAGGAATGGTGGGGAGCAAAAGGTGATTGACCAAGG